CGGGCTGCGGAGCGGGGGGCACCGGGCACCCGCTCGCCGGCTGGCGCTGCCCGCTGGAGCCCGGCAATAATATTGTTTTATACCTACGGGTATAAGTTTGAGTTTTTCTCTCCTAATGCCAAGTATTTAAAACCTCTAGAAACCAATGATTTGACAATCAATGATTGCGCGATACTTTCAATTTGAATATTCAAAGGCTCTGCAAAATGGGCTATCTTTTTGTGAAACGGAGCACATCCCCATCTAGCAGAGGGTCTGGGGGAATAAGATTTGGCAGGGCTGGTGGCACCACCCTCTGATTTTGGGACATTTTTGGGGTTTTAGCCATCTTCCCCCAAATGCAGCAGACACCTCTGAACCTGCTCAGTATTTTCACTTCACAAGCACAGGCTGCACTCCAGCCCTCTCATATTTCATTTGCTGCTTGCAAAGAGGCTTCTGCAAGGGACTGAGTGGCTTTTTGCAGATTTTTTCACAGTTTAAGGGGAATTTTCAAGATTTTTGGAGCAAAATGGCAGTGAGTGGGTGTGGTATAGCAGAGCGGCTGCCCTGGGCCCTGGGGAGGCCGAGGCTGCCCAAACTCCATTTCTTGGCCCAGTAATCCCTTCTTTCTCCTCAGGTGCTGGCTTTATGTTGGGGTTTACCTGTATTTTCTCTTAATTCAGGTTGTTTGTTCACTCTCCATGAAGTGGCCCCTCTCAGCTTATATGCCTCAGCATTAGCCTGCCCTGTGCGCTCAGGTCAATGGGGCTTCAGTGCATGGTTGGGTGGTTTTCTTAGACACCCCTACATCATTATATAATATGCATTTTGTAAGCTTTTCCCTGGGGTCTGCTGTCTCTGCCATGCATGGAGCTGAAACAGATCTCAGGCCAGGCTGTTAATAATCTACCAGCAGTTCACTGTGGCTCTTGTTGCAGGCAGAATATTTTCCTTTTTTCTAGACTGAGCAAATACACTTGATTTCTGTCAGGAGTGGTCTCAGCAGTCATCCCTCCATGCTGAAAGGTGCCTTAGTTCCCCTGGTAGGCCGAGTCTTGTGTAGGGCAGCTCTGCAGAGGAGCTTTGCTCAGGCTCTGCTGGCAAGGAGCCCTTTCCCTGTCCTTTCCTGGCTGGCAGTGCAGCCAATGGAAGCGATGCTGTGCAGGAGGGTCTGCCTGCTGAAGCATCCGGGCAGGAGGATGGAGCCCACAGAGCTGTGAGCTCTGTGCAGGGTGTCCAGAGATCTGGGCTAATGTTTAGCTCTGTAACCAGAGGCCGGTGAGCAGAGCGTGCATGTTACTGTGCTCCAGTCATGCCTGATTTGTGATCACTAAGGAAACTCAAAAGTCCCTGTGTGTCCTGTGTTTTGGAGCACTTCCAGGCTCTCGGAGCTGGGAGACAGCGAGCAGATCAGATGCTTTGAAAAGAGCTCAAAATCTTTCAGGCCTGCTCCTGCCTCGGTGCTGGACAGGGATGCAGCCAGAGTGAGCCTGGAACCCTGGCCATGGGGAGGTACTGTTGAGTCAGGGGTTGCTTTGCTACCGTGTCAGCTGCAGAATTGATTTACCCTCGAGATATTGGATAATTGTGGTGTGCAGGAAGGCTATGGGTACAGAGCACTGGAGCAGTGGGACCTGCCTGCCCGCCAGGCACTCCAGGACCAGTGGCAAGGGCTGCATCACTCTGGACCACGTGGGTTGGGTGGCTGCGACCCCGGCATGCGCATGTCCCCTGCTTGCTCGGAGGAGCCCAGGAGGCTCCAGGATGAAGGCAAGAGGCAGCTGGGCTTCACAGGCACTTAGCAACGGTGTAGAGGAGCCCTGGCTCCTGCCTCTTTGGCCAGCCAAGCTTTCCTTGCCGCTCCAGGGCCAGACTGGTGAGTGGAAAGGTGCGACCGGTGGGGTAGAGGTGGGATTTTGGACAGACAAAGGCGCGGGGTGGGGGCAGGGGGGGCTGCGTTGCTGAACAGGTCTGGACAAGGCTGGGGAAGCAGGAAGGGGCAGGGAGCCACAGGCTGCGACTGGAGAGAGGCGCTTTGGACCAGCTGGGGCTGGGGGCTCTGCCCGCGCCGGAGACTCCCGGGGAGTTTGCATCCACGAAGCGCGTGAAACCCAGGGGCTGGGCAGGGCCATGAGGCTGATGTCTTTTTGTGGCGGACGCGGAAATCTGCCCCTTCGGTTGTGACCCTGCACATCTGCGGGCTAACGAGGCAGCGCTGCCTGGGTGCACAGTGCCACCTAAAGGCAGGCTACCTCGATGCCATCTTCCTCCCTCGGCCCTTCAGCCGTCCATCCACCCACCCTCCTTCCAGTTGTGGGCTTTGCGATCCTCTGGCTGGGAGAATCGTTTCTGTGAGCCTCTGGACAGAGAGAACCCGCAGCCTCACCCTTGCTTTGCAAAGGGGCTGTGTGTGGGGTGCACGGCCTCAGCGTGGAAGCAGGGGCTGTGCAGAGCCTGAGAAGATACAGCTGAACAGCCAGGCCATGTTAGGTGCCTGATCAAGGGTCCGACAGGGCTGCTGGGCATGCACCAGGGTGCAGGCAGGTTGCAGGAATAAGGGGGCTAGGTGATCCCACTATGGAAGAGTGGGAGGATAGAAAAGCATAGCCTGGCCTGTTGGGCACTTCCCTTTGGCATTGTCCAAGGGAGACTTTTGCTGCTCCTTCTGCGGGTGGTGGGATGAGACTGGTGAAAAGCGGCCTTGCCTGGGACTCGCGCTGCTCGAGGCTGTGTGCACAGGCATGTGTGTGAATGTGTGTGCGTGTGTGCGTGTGTGTGTGTGCGCGCAGAGCTACCTCTAGTGGCTGTGGGTCCTGCAGGGCTGTGCTGGCCAGGTGGCATCTGCCCATGTGTCAGGGCTGGTAGCAGGACCGCACACCTGAGCTGCTACTCCTTGCAGCTCCCACAGGTGCTCCTCGTGCTCTCAGCAGGGGCCTGGGGGTGTTTTGCCGGGAGCCACACAGGTGTGCAGCTTTTTGTTGCGTCCCCTGAGTTGTCTTTGGGGCTTATAAGGGCGGGTGGTGAATGGCCACTGTATGTTTCCTTCAGGGCAGGGGTGATTTGCAGAATAGGGATAATAATGTGCAGGTGTCTTTCAAGCTCTGTATTTTACCTGCAGTGCAGTGGGGATGTGAGCAATGAGCCTTGCAAGGCACTAGAAGTCACTCCTAAGAGCAGCTGTTGGGAAATAGCATATAAGTAGCTTTGGCTTCAATACAGGTCCATGTTTTTTCCTTTCCTCCAGCTCTTGTCTGCCATCAGTAAGTTCTCCGGCCATCGTATGCACCCCAGAGGGGACCTCCATCCTCCTTCGCCCAGGACGTGGTATCATGGAGGGCTGGCGCATCTGAGGACAGCTCGGGGGAGAGATGGCTCATCCTGGCAGTGAGCTCATTTGCCACAGTCATGAACGGTGAGAATGAGTAGGGCGAGGTGGTGGCATAGCTGGAGGAGTAGTGCACCTCTTCCAGAGGATGCAGCGGGTATGGCTGGGCTCCGGCCACGGCTGGGACCCAGGCTGAGCCTCTGTATGGGGAAGTGCTGCCCATCTCGTGGGAGGAAAGGCAGCCGGCGGCAGCAGGCAGCGTTTGGAGGGAGTCTGAGCACGGGCCATCAGGCTGGCCCAGGCTGTCTGGAGAGGTCTGTTCCCAGGGCTCTCTCTGCAGTGAAGGGAGGAAGAAGGCGAGAGAAACCTTTGAGGATGAAGGTTCATCCTGCACATAGTGGCCTGCCTAGCTCTAGCTTCAGGATTCACCAAGCCAAGGTCTCCCCAGAGTCTTGCCGCAAGCACAAGGGTTTCTGCTGACAATACTAGAAGATGCCAGAAGTGTTTAAAGGAAACAACCCCAGTGTTAATGGTGGGTAAGGACTGGAACAGGTTCCCAGTCAGGCTGACCAGCCCTGCTCCTGCAGAGCCTGGGAGCTCTGCGCTGGGGCACTCAGACCAGCTGGGTTTGGAAGGCTGCTAACTTCAGAGCTGGTCTCCACCAGGAAGGAGGGGGCAAGTACTGGGAACAAAAAGGGAAATACTTAACTGTTTGTCCTGTGGTCTGCCATGGTTACATCCTGCCACAGCCACCTTCCTCCACATGGCCCCCCTCCCCATCCTAATCGTGGCTTTAAACTGGATGATGTTTTACTGCTGACTGAGAACCAGAGACTCACTCACAAGTAGGATATGTGCCGTGTCACTAGGGAAGGATGGCAGGAGAGGGGGCAGCGAGGAAGGACTGAAGAAGGAGCCGGTACCAGACGTGAAGGGAGCAGTGCGGGAGTGATCCCCGTATTGCTCAGGGAGGTACGGATCCAGGAGTGCTGAGTAGCCCTGGGCGGCAGAGGAATCACACGAGAGCGGCTTGGATCCTGGAGAGGGTGAGCAGACATCACTGGCAAACTGCTTTGTATTGTGGAAATCCAGCTCGGCCGTGAAGGACCTCCTGACACCGTAGTAACCAGTCATGGTGGGCGAGCCTGTGGCAGTGGTGGGGAAAAGAGAGATGGCTATGGGAAAACCATGTGGGGAGCCGCGGTGTTGTGGGCACCTCCGCGAGCACGAAGCAGAGCCCTTGGAGCAATTTGAATTTTCTCTCCCTTTTTCAGGGAATTTTATGCCAGACTACAGGGGCCTTGCTTTATTATCATTGCTTCTGTGCTGTCTCTTACAGAGATTTTCCTCTGGGATTCTCTGCCATGGATGGCCTGTCACTGTGCTCCTTCACTCACTTTGAGCCAGGTGCTCTTTGCAGAATGAGAGACAGGAGTGGTATCGAGTACCTAACCTACACGTAAGGTATTTCTCACTGGAGGAAAGCCTCACCTGGTATTTGGACAAATGGCGACTGCGGCATGTTGGTGCTGCCCTGCAAAAAGATAAAGGCACATTGAAAAATGTCTTTTTAAAAATAATCTAGCTCCCTAAGTACATAGTTTGGGAAGGTGTTGGCCTAATTCAGATGCACTATTTGAGTACTGGTGTTATCACTATGAAGAGATTACCTGCAAGATTTCAAGCCTGGGGCATCTAAGGTATGAGCACACGTAGACTAAGAAGAGATTTCAAAGGTCCTGGATAGAACTGATAACAGTACAAATATCAAGATAACCGGCTTCTTTCTCATGCGCTGCAGGGGCTCATCATGTTGAACAGTCATTTTGGTGCCAGTGAGAAACAGGTCTCAGGAAGGAGGTACCTAAGTATTTGGCTGGTTAAAATTCAGTCTCATTCTGTACTGCCCATTTTCAACCCCAGCCCTCCCACACTGTGTTTGGCGCCCACAGCCACTTGGCTCACCCTGCCAGCAGAAAGAGTGAGCTGTGCTTGGAAGGAAGTTGTTTCTAGCTCCCATCTGTACAGCCCTACTGATAATAACAATCTCCTCTTGCTCTCTGGACAAGGAGAACTAGCCTCGAGTGACCTCTATACTCGAGGGGGCTAATCCCACCCAAGCCACTGTGCAAAGGCAGCTCTATGTGGTTTTTCACTGAGCTCTGTCTCTGCAACTCCAAGCCCAGAAAGCAGAAATCCAGGAGCCTGTGGCTGAATTCATTTCAGCTGTGCTATTGCCCTGGCCAGTGATGGTGGCAGGCTATTTCCAGTTTGCATAGTGCAAACAGGAGGTTCCTGCCATAGCAAGCAACCAAATTCAGCGGTTTGGATTTGAATTAAATTTGCCAGTGCTAAGACTTCCTTTTACTGCTGAGGAAGGCTTGCAGCTGCTCCCAGCTCTGCCATGAAAATGAGCACCGAGACCACGCAGGTCACACAGGCTGCAGGAGCCGCAGGGGGTGTCAGGAAGGAGCCCTTCGGCTTGTGGCAGATGCGTGTTCACCCCGTGGGGTCGGGCATGGAGCCTGCACATGTCTCCAGCTGGGCTGTTTCAGGTGCAGAGGATCGTAGCCGGTAACACATGATGCCCAGCAAAGCTACAGCCTCCCTATGCAAATCTGGCCTGGGCAGACACCCCTCTCTGGGCATGTAGCTTATCTAAGCAATCCCTTTTCCTGCTCTGGGGCTTGTCCCCCCATCACCTCTGTCTGCTCATGGCCATCATGTCCTGCTGATGATTTCTGTCTGCCATCACTGCAGAAGAGTTTCTTTGACCCAAAGGGATGGCACAGCTTCAGAAAGCAGTCCTGTGCTCCAGTATTTAGACTCCAGAGCCTCAATACCCCACCAGGAAGCAGTCTGGTACCCAAATACTGTGTCTGAGGAGAAAGGGAGCCAGCAAACTGGATTCTGCCTGCCTAAACCTGGCCTTCATCAGAGCAAGCAACCACATATGGGGACCTACATTTCATTTGCCTCCTGGCTGCTTATCAGACAGTGAATGGCTTTGCTCAATTTAAACCCATTAGTCCATTTCCTCCCTGCATTACTTCCTTTCAGCGCTGTGGGACTGGGGGAGCTGGATCTTCTGCAACACATCAGTGTGTCTGTGTAGCATCACTTGAGGACACAACATGCTCTGCTGTTTGACCATGCATTGGCATATCTCCACTTTGGATCCAAAATGCAGCACAGCAGTCGAGGTAATAAAAGTAGCACCTGCAAAAGCTGTTGCTGTTCTGCTGCTGCAATCAAGGGCCCATCAGCTCACCCGTGACAGGTGAGCCTTTCTTCAGCAGCACCAATCTGCTCTGCAGACCTCCCCTTGCGCAGGGAAGGATAACTGATTTTGGAGCAAATATCACATTCAAACAAAGATGTAGCTGAATTACACTGCATCATAAATATACAATGTGGTGTTCAGTTGTCTGCCATTTGCTTTGATTCTGGATTATATTATGTGTTGGATAAACAGAGCTGCCCTTACAGCTGCTCTTTTCACGTGTCCAAGCAAATACGGATGTTTGCCCTGCACTATAATTTTTAGTCTATCGTAAGGAATTAGCCATTGGGCTGATTTTGCATTAGATAGACACATAACTGCTAAGCTTTGGAACGCAAAGTAAAGGGCAATAAAGCAAGCAGCAAGCATTTTACAGTCCCTAGGGCTTTTGATTGCAGCCATGGCAGCACTGAACAAAAAAACTGCCACCTCCAAAAAGAAAGCTGGTAACCTACGGTAATCCTTAACCAGCATCTGTTTCGTGTTTTTTTTTTTTTTTTTTTTTTTTTCCCCCCCGGTCAGTGCAAAGAGAGCAGCTCCCCCCCACTGCTTCCCAAAGCAGTATGCCCAAAGTGCTGCTGGGTGGCATCTTGTAGTGCCCCTCCTAGCTCAAGTGGTCTCCTGCCTATCTGCATCAGTGGCAGGTTGTGAACAGATCCATGGCCTGATCTTGTTTAGTTCAGCAATGTCTATGCTATTTTTCCACTCTTTTTGGTACACAAAGCTAATGTGTGAAAGTAACTGTGAGAAAAAAATAGTTGCAAGTCCCTTTCAGATTTGTTTATTTGTTTTGCTGAAGGCAAAAAAACCTGAGGCAAATAGCTTGGGGGCAAAAGAGCATCAAATTTCCTATCATGTCTCCTACTGCTGGTAGTTCAGGTCTCTGCTCCTCAGTCTCTTTCCTTCCAGGGCACGATTTCATCAGCTTCATCGCATCTCCTCATCTGTCATTGGCCCCGTTGCTCCCAATCAGCCAGGAAGCCAAGTGCTCCTGTTTGGCAAAGGTGAGTCTTCAGAGCCCACTGGGAACAGCTTACATTGCCACTGGCTGCTTTGTGCTGGCACCTTCAGTGTTGTCCCCTGTTCTGGGGACAGCAGCACTTCTCAGGTGCCTGTGCCTGGCTGGTACTTCACGAGATGCAATGTAGTGTAGCATAATTTGACTTATATTTTTTGTTGCTATGGAATCACTTTAGAAAGAAGCAACTCTTACAAACTGATGCTTGGCGTCTTTCCAGAGCATAACATTACTGCATATCCCCTGGCACTCTGGTATGCCAGAGAGGAGCTGGAAGGAGTGCAACATTCAGGGAAAAACATCTATTTTTATGGCACTGAGTTGTTCAAATGTTGCTAGCAGTAAAGGAAGCTGACTCGGAAAGGTGTCATGCATGGATTGTGAAGGGAATGGGCAATTTAACATTACTGATTTGCTAAAGCTGTTATTTGAGAATTGTAATTCTCAGGACTTTAATCCCTGAAAGGCTCAATGATGTGAAAAGTCAAGGAGCTCTCCGTGATCTGTGAGGAAGAAACTAGTCTTAGAAATACTCATGCTTTTTCCCTGTCAACGTTGGCAGCACCCTGAACTCAGCAAAGATGTTCTTTAACTACAGATTGCAACGAACAACTTTTCCAGTAAAGCAACAGACTTACGCTGCAGTGGGAGCCACTGATCTGCCTGGATCGTTTCTCGGCGAGCAGATCTTTGACTGTGTGTTTCACTCGTACTCCTTGGTACACTCGTTTACCAAAATCTGGGGGGACTAAGGGAATGAAATAGGCATTAGAGGAGATAAGCCAAAACATGGGGGGGTGGAAAATGTTTTTAAGGAAGAAGCACTTTCACCAGCTCTGTGTACTAACATAAGAAAGAAACACATTGGTCTGTCTGTTAATATTCCTGCTAAACTGTCACTTAGGGCTCATCTGCAGATGACAAGGGCCCCATGGGGCCTCCCCTGTAGTTCAGCACTGGCTGCTGCCTGGTGCTTTTCATGCAATTCCCTCTGTGATAGACAAGGCTGCATGATGGTTTTGGCTTTTGTTTTGTCAAAGAGGGCTCAGAGGCGTCTTACATTTCCCCTTTGGGTCAGCAAAGGTGGATTTAACCCTGTGGCCCCTATCGCTTCCAGCAGTATCCCTGCAGTTTAGCTCCTTGTTGCCTCTTTTGTGGAGCTGCCAGTGTCCAGCACATCACTCTGTGAGCTGAGACAGATTTGATCTCTGTGGAGCAAAGGTAGAAAAGCTCTAGATGGCCAGAGTGGCTCCCAAAGAAGGAGGCATGAACCGGCCTGGGCAGTGATCAGGAAAAGCAAAGGAGTTGGCTGCTGTGTATCCACAACAAGTACAGACAGGTTCCTGGGAGCTCTGTGGTTTTAGCAAGGAGAGAGAAAGCCCAAGAGGCACAAAGAGGGGTGCTGTGTCTTGGACATTCCAGATGCCAATGGCAGTTCGGTCTCTGTTTTCTCGACCTACCTGAAAGCCAGCAAAACCTGTATGTACATCATGTCTGTGTGTCTTTTGGGGCTAGGCATCTGTCCCCTTCCCCTGCCTGGGTAAATCTCTGGGATCCGACAGGTGTACAGGTGTTTTGGCATGAGTAAGAGCAGACGGGAACAGCATACAATACTAGGAGAAACTTTTTATCCTGCCTAACAGGCTGTGTCTGTAGAGAGCTCACACCTGTGGAGCCAGGGAGGAGCGTCCAGAAGGGGTATTACTGAAATGTAAAGACAAGAACTCAACTTTGAAGCCAATCCTTTAGAAAATAAGAAGCCGTGTTCTCCTGAGGGAATGCAAGCAGCTAAACCACAGCTGAAGTGCTTGATCTGTAAGGCTGTGATTTATCATTTTGCCCTTCTGCTTTTCAGGATGTGGCATTTGATTCCATTCATCATTTACGTTCCCGTGGCATTGTGTTCCCAGGTGCACGTACACCGGACAGGTTTAGAAAGGGCATACACAATGCAAAGACTTGGTGCTGGCGTGGAGCTACCCCAAATATCTTCTGGTGGGCCACAGTTTGAAAGAGACGCTCACTGCCCCAGAGCTTATGACTGAAGCAGTCAAAATAAAAGTGGACAATGAGTATGTATTCAGAGCAGCCAGTATTTCAGGGTAAGCCAGTATGCATCCAGGAATGGATATGATCTCTCTGAAAGAAGAAGACTCTGTCTGTGTGCTCTGCTGCTTTTCCATGTTCTGATATTCCCCAATGCTACAACCTCTTGTATTAACCGACCTTGCTCCTTTGGGATCATTTCTCCTAGCAAGCATCCGATGCTGTGGGCTTCTCCAGTACAGTTTTTCGATCATCCTTATTACTGTCTGAAGCATCAGACAAACATGTCCACATGTCTTTGCTTTTACACATGGATACTGTACCGTTGAAGATACTTTGCTTGTATGCCTGTGGATACATGCCTGGGCTCAAATCCTTGTAAGTAAGCAAGATAAGCACTGACTCTTGCTTAGCTAAGTATTCTGGCATCATGTAAGTAACCCTGTTGGCTTATGCGAGTCATTCTGCAGGATCTGACTCTGAGCTATTAAAACAACAAAAAAGCCTGCTATTGGCAGCATCAAGGAAGGAAATGCTAGTTGATATATTTTCATATATTTTTATTTTTGAGCAAATTGAATCATATTTCATCATCTTGGGTTAGCCCTCTTTCAGAAAAATATTACACCGTGACAGAATATGAATTCTGTTTAAAGAATCCTGGATACGCTAACAAAGATAGTATTAAAATACTGGGATATTAAAGATACCCTGACAATTCTGCTCCCTGAATTGATTTTATGTGAGCCCACAGATAACACGGTGCATTCTTTCCCCAGTTTCATTCTACCATTAATAAATATTTGCATTAAGATGCATCTTAATATGTTGGAAAGTCAAGGTGCTGGGACTCACCAGTTTCCATTCTGGCCACTGCTGACTAATCCCAGCTCTCAAGATCTGCAGGAGTTTGGAGAAGGTCTGTCATGAACTTCCCAGAGCACTGTGAAGTCAGTGCTCATTCTCCTCTGATATCCAGCTGAGTCCAATGGAAATATGTTTTCTCCAATTTAGTGATGTCTCCACAATAGCTTGTTTAGGATTTGCTTAAATGCAAATTGCTCCATGTGCGTTTCACTGCCATTTGCATGGTCAGTGTGGATCGGCCTCAAAGGGTCTTTTTCTTGTCTGAGGTGACATGTCATGGGTGAAAACTGAGATGAGGTTTGTTGATGGAAAAACCTCTGGTTAAAATGAGAAGCTGCTAAGTCCTGCAGGCATGACCTATCTCCTTAGAGGAGAGAGGATCCTGGGTGGAGAATGAGGCTTGGAGCAAGAGAATCTTCTTACCTGTAAGCATAAGGCAGCCCAGCACTGCTGAAGATCCACATGGCAGGCCTTAAGTGTAATGGAGTCTTTTCCTCCAAACAGTCCAGGAATAGGTTGGGACAGACAATCTCTGTGGTGTTTTGTGTGCATGCAGAGCAGTACCCAGGAACACTGTGCTCATCTTATATGAGCACAACAAAACTGGGACGAATACATTGCTCATAATTAAATAATTTTCTACTTGTGGAGCCCATTGCCTGTCTGGGGGGAGCTGTTCTTTGCAATGCCAAGCATTTTCCATTCCATGGGCCCAGTGATGAAGGTCACGTGTTATTTGCAATGCCTTCCTGGGGGAAGCTATTGGGTTTTTAAGCTTTTTTTTTTCCCCCCCTTCAGAAGAAATATTAATTAAGAGGGGCAGCTGATGAAAAGGCTGCATCTGGTCAGGCTGTCATGGGAAGTAAGGAAGACAAAACTGAAATGTCATAGATAAGAATTGTCTATATACTCAATGCAGAGCTGTGGGTATTCTGGCTGCTCAGACACAGAGCTCGTTATCGAGAGGTCACCACACGGAAAGCTGATGGAAAATATAACTGCTACATGCAGGGTCTGTGGCCCCTTACACACTTGCTCCACAGGCACAGGTCTTGTTGTGGCCAGTCCATTATTGGCACCCCGCGTGGTATTGGCAGCTTTCCCGGACTTTGCAGATTGGTCCTAGAAATGGCAGGAGGTGGCAGGCAGCTGTAAGGTCACAGCAGAAAAGGGCTGGTTTTGCATTGCAAGCCACCTGCCTTCTGGCAGGCTTCCCACCTGGGTTTGTCTCCTGGGATGGACATACGTTTGCTTAGGTTGGGATACCCAAGGATACACAAGCCCTGGGCAAGCTCTGTCCCCTGGCACAGCTGTAGCACTGTCCACCCAGGCCAGGTGTCTTCACTACAGAACAACAGCATTAAAAACAGCAGCTAATCCTGCGGAAAAGAATTAAATGGAGATGAAATAAAAACTCAGCCTGCCTTCTTTTAGACGATGCCCATCTCTTATCTTGTGTTTTCTGTTAGAGAAGCCTCAGGTCCAGCTTTTCTCTATAGTTTGGTGGATTTGGGCAAGTACCTTCCATTCATCTCAGTGGGTAGAGTTGGGGCATGCAACAGGAATCAGAGAAGCAATTGTGTGTAGACAAGGCACGCTCTATGACGCGTTCTAAACAACCTCACTTCATTTTAGCATGCTGCCAAAGCAAACTTCACTGAGAATTATGCCTCTATTTTGCACAAAAGCCTGGAATAGCAGATGCAATATCCAGTGTATATTTGCTTAGTTTAAACCATCATTTCAACCTGTCCTTTTGATGGAGTAAAAAGAAGAAAAAGCCTCACATTATCTGCCAGCAGGAACCACAATAGCGAGGGATAGGAATGGGGCTTGTATTGTTGCTGATCAGGGTACCCAGCTGTGTGTAACCTCCCACAGCGTGAAGAGCTGCTTGTCTGCACAACAAATAGCCGCAGTGTTCGCCCCAGAGCTGAGAAATGAGCAAATGTGCTAGAAACACATGGGAATAGTGATGGAGAGCTGCTTTCCTGGGCTCTATGCTCCATAGCGGTGAAAGCTGGGTGTTGGGTGGAATGTGAGGACCTGCTGAA